TTCACCATAAGCCTACAGAACAGTATAACTCATTAAGCAGAAATCTGATCCTTTTACAAAAATCACAATATGCTCTTTTTAGTTTTTTAGTACCATTGTAATGTTGCTATTAATCCCCAATTTTTTGAAACACTTATCTGATTCGTCTTTTTTTAAGGTAACTGCAAGTGGATACAATTTCCTTTTTTTGTATCCTGATTATATAATCCAGTTACGTGTAATCTGTAACTCTCCAAACCTGGTCATACAGTACACAACATGTTATCAAGTCAGTCCAGGATTTTGTGTACGCCGCTGAGGCTTGTGTCTTAACCCTGGGTTAAGATAATGGGATTAGTTAATTTACTCGTAAACCAAAGTAATGGATAAGGATTGATGGCACTAAGGAGGGGTTGAGGGATGACCAAAGCTATTGCTATTCATCTTGAGGGGAGCATGAATGTGTCCAACAATATTACGGCTATACATGAGGAAAAGTCAGGTCATCGCTTAGGTTGTCATGATACATCCTCTCTCTGGGCACCATGAATGTGAATTTCAGGCCATCCATCCAATAGTTGTGAGATATTTTAGTTTCTAACAGAGTGGTGGACCGACCAAATGATAACCTATTTTATTACACAGTATATCAAAATGCTAGACTCAAATTTGCAGGATTGGCTCTTTTGGTTATTCAATTGCTTTACCCTGGGATTGTTTCATAATGTACGCATGCATGTTCACATTCTACTCTGAATTATTTTATTAAAATGAATAAAAGCACCGGGTCTCTACGCTTCAGACTTCATCGGGGAAACATCCCAGAAAGAGTTGTTTTTTAATTAATGTTAACAACTACATGTCTCTGAGCTGCACTGGAATGAAGACGACTCATTAATAATGCAAAGTTACGCCTCACAATCCCTCGCTGTATTATGTGCACTTTTCTGTGTTAAATGAGAACCATCAAACTTTCTGTCCTCATCAACCTTTCAGATGATACTGTTCCGAGCCTCTGCCTCCCCGAGCCAATTAATGTGGACCTGGAGAATATTTGTTGCTGCAGCCTCTCATACAATTTCAACTCTTCTCGGAGAATCTACTGGAAGTGCTTCTGACTCCTGTGAAATCAATAGAGCCGAGATGCCCTTTTAAGTCTTGATGGTGTATAGCGACGTGTTTTTGTTTGATCTTTCTGATTCTGTGGAGGATGGAAAAAGTGGCGAGGATATTTGTGCCTGTGAAATGTCTGTGTTATCAGTGGTTGTGTGAATAGCTTCACATAAAATAAATGAGGCCCACGTGTGTGTTCTGTTCAGGGGGCACAGTAATGAACACTGCACCATTTTTCCTGGGAGGCTAAATGATCTGTCAAACGCTTAATGTAACAGGACAGACTGTGCCGAACAAGTGGCCACCACACTCAAACTGACGAGAGTTAATTTGGTGTCACATGTATGTTTCTGTCTGTTCAGCATATATATAAGTTAAAATAAGAATAATTTAAAAGGAAAAAAGTGTCTTGAAATATGCCAAGAATGGAGTGTTTATAGTTAACAAAGTTTTGTAAGTGTTATATGAGGATGTCCATTTCTTGTAGCAACATTGATAATAAAGAATATGAGATGGTGAAGCAGTTTGGAAAAAGCTACTTTGCATCAAACATATGGAGCCCAAGGTCAATAATTAACTTCCATGTCCAAATGAATTAATCAAATTAACCAACAATTAATCAATGGCAATTTCAGTTATCAATGAATTACCGCATTCATTCAACAAGAGGCAAGGCTATAATGCTCATTAGGAACACATTAAAATTGTCGAATTAGTTGAAAGATTATATTTTCAAGGACAAGAATGAACCTAGCAGTAGAATCAGTAGAATCAGGATGCAAGGTGCTCATTTCTAGCTTGTTGGTATGCTATGCGAGTATCCATTTGTAAGCCCATGGGATAAAGTGTCTAGAGAAATCATGTTATGAAATGAAATGTAAAAAGAGGCCTGTCAGTGGCACTAATAGGGAAGTCATGGGATCCATATGTAATCTGGATCATGTATGTTTGTTTGGTTTCATTTCATTTCAACCATTGCCCCAGGCATTTCACTTCAGCCCTGCCATTCACAGAGCCATGCAGCAAATACATGTAGATTCACATGAACTGGGTACATTGTTTTATCTGATATGACATATTTTTATACAATAGATATCCTTCTTTCTGTGAGTGCATACGTTTATATTTCCAGGTTTCTACTGTATGTTTTCATCCGGAGCTACACTTAATCTCTCATTTATAGGATATGTGTTTTTTACCTTTACACAAAGGTGCAATTTCCCTGGTGTTGAGTTCAGATGTTTCTTTGTACTGTGTCCAAAAGTCCATGGATAAAGAATTGCTTTCCCCCCAAATAATAGTGCGTTCAGTGTTTGAAAGATAATACCCTACAGTAAAGACACTTTACAGCAAATACAACAGCACAGTTTGTGCAGAATATCAGTATGTATAAAACTATCTGTAAATGACAGGCCACTGATAGACAGATGGAAATGACAACTGATAAATTAGAAACACAAAGTGAATGTGAAAGGTATACATTCATTACATGACGTGCTATAAATGTGAAAGTAAATCAAAATGTAAAGATACTTTGTGACGGAAAATCACTGAGGGCCGGTCAAATGACATGTCACTCATCAAGGTAAAAAACAGCTGACTCTGCCTGAATTAAACTAGCCTTTGAGTTTATTATATTCTTAAAGCAACTGTCAGCGTGTGCAATACTCCTTCTCGGTAGCATCATATTAGCATGAGATATTGAATTGGATTAAAAATGAGATCTCTGGTGAGGTGAACTGTTGCTATTGCATCATTTAGGCTGCATTAAGATGGTCGATTAATGTAGAGGAAGGTTGCTGGTGCAGTGAAAAGACTAATGCTGAGGGCAGGAGGATATCTGCTGTGTTGGTGTCTGATCTGATCTGTTGGAGGGATAGAAAAATGCAACACCGTTTTTTCTGGTCTGCTGTGTTCGGATGCTTGGTTAAAATATGTAAAACACAAGACTTTACACTTTGTCTCCTTTGGACATCATGTGTACCTGTGTTAATCAACACTTCCTTCACCAACAAACAAGCATCCTCTTCATATGTCGAGGTGTTTGCTGAGGTTTTCAATTAGTTTTCCAGCTCATTCTGTTAAGTGTTACAGAGAGCAACACGGTTCATTTGCTAATTCTTCCAAATGAATTTAATTGGTGTATTACACACAAGAATAAAGAATAACTGTCCATAAAGTGGACCCTGAGGAAGTTGTACTTTAGTGCTCGAAAAGCTCTTTCCCGTGAATACAAATAAAACTGCGTAAAATATATTACCAAGTGAAATGCATGGAAAACTAAGTGAAATGAGAAGGAGATCTTCATGAACATTACAATTATTGATGACGTTTTTTTGTGTCTTAAATAGATGCATCTGTGTGATGTTAGCTTTTGTTTATTAGTTAGAAGATGAAAATTACTGATTCCTTTTCAGGACTAGAGCAGTACACTTCTTTCATAATGTCATCACTGCAGTTATATTTAATTTTCTATTCCCATTCTTTTGTATTTTTCTATGTGTATGTTACAAATTGGAAATAATGAACAAATACAACATTACTTTTGATTTGCCTTCACTAAAGACATTCATAGACGACTTTTAAACACAATTGGTCAACTAACACATTCTGTGATTTAATTATAAGATCTGTAAAACAGAGTTTCTCCATAAAGAGTTTTGCAAAAACATCCTTTTTAAAGCTTGTGTTAACCAGAAATGTTTTTTTTTGTTTTTACTGAAAATGAATCATTCAGCATGAAGAAAGCTCTTTAATTGACTACGCTACTAAATTAATCTTAGTGGACTTAAGAACAAAACAACCTGACTGCTAAAAACAACTAAAATCAAACTGGTGTATTCATTTTAGTTTCTGATAGAGTGTCTGTGTTCGTTCACAACATTGTTGGGTCAAAACGTTAATTGGTTAAGAGACACACCTTTAGTTCTCCTTAATTGCAGAATGTGAGGGTGTAGCATTGCCTCTTGTAATATAAAAAATATAACGTATGTTTACAAAACAGCACCAACCGTTTTGTTATCTAAGTGCATTTTCAGACATAATGCAACAAAGAACCATCAAGCATTTTCGAGGACATTTGCAGACTCAAGTGCCTCTTCATTTTCCCACTGCGTACTTGATCATCACAGTTTCTGTGAAAAGAATAATTTAACTCTGCTTAAATTTCAGTTTAAGAAAAGACAAATACATCTTATCAGAAGATTATAATCAACAGAGGCCATCTAAGAATGTTATAGAAGTGACAGAGCTGGGAAAAGAGAGAGAGGTGATGCTCTGGGCTCGGTACACCTTGTGAGTTCTTTGCCTTTACCCAGAACATTGTGTGCCCTAGTGCAGCCTGTTTGAAGTGGGCTGCTGACCTGGGGGCTGCTGGTGTCAGGTGTGCTGGTGTCAGGTGTCAGTTTGTGTGAACTGATCCTACATCAGCCTCATGGAGCTGTCTGTTCAGCACCATGGAGCTCCACTCTAACATCTGCAGCTCTGAGAAAAACATCATAGACTTAAAATAACTTGTGATCTTAGTGGTGGCATGCTGCATTGGTTTAGTTTGCATGTTGGTATGTGTGATAGCCCCAATAATAGCCTTTATATGAATACAATTACAGCAAAACGTGCCCTTTTAAATTGAATTATAGGCTACTTAAATCATTTTTAAAACAACTTTATGACTAACAAGTGCTTTGGACTTGCAGAAAGGTGTAAAAAAACTGGATTAAATAAACATGTGGACATAGTATTGTCTGGACCTCACATATCCCAAGAGTCCCCCTGCCCAGCAGAGCAGAGGAGTGACTCCACTGAACCGGGTGACTGTCGAAATCAGAGCATGTATGCAAATAATATATCAAGACAAGTGCATCTGTCTCGGAAACATGACAAATAAGTTTGTTCCACGTGTTCCTCACCTGTACCAGTCCAGCCCTCTGTCATAGTTTCTGTCGAAAAAGTGCGGCTCAGTTCCTAGTGCGCGCACATCTGGATGTATCCGGATGAACTCCAGCACCGCCCTGGTACCTCCTTTCTTTACACCGACTATTAACGCATTAGGCAGCTTCTTATTCCCATATTTTTGGGCAACACTCATGTTTCTTAACTTCGTGTCATCCGAGTGACTTCCAGACGAGGCAGTGGCTTTAATGTTGCGCAGATCGCTGTATCCTCGCGGGGCAGCGGACCCATCCAGAGCGGACCTGACTTCCAACGAAGCGCAATTGTCTAATTTCCCAAGAAGTTTCTTCCCTCCTGCGTTCTTGCTCGGCGGGCATCTTCTCCCCTCGTAACCCCGGTTTGTCATAACTGTGCTGCGACAAAAAAGAATACTGTAGCATAAATATGTGCAGGATAAAGACACAGTGAATATGAAGGCGAATCTGGCGCTGAATCTGTTCGTAGATGAGAGGAACCTATGTGCCATGTCTCCATGGGTTCAAGTGCTGCATGATTTTCCATCGGAGTCTTCCTCCTCTCTTGGTGTGCGATCTGGCAATACTGGTTGCAATACTATAGGTTCTAAAGTCAGGCAGACTGGCATAAGAGGATAGGGGTGGCTTCGCTGATGCATCAACTGCGCGTAAATCGCATTATTCCTTTTCATAGGCTGCTGAAGTGTGCGAGAAACTTAGAGCAGAATACAATTAAAGCAGCTTCCAAGGGAAGAAATGTCTCAGTCCTCCTTTAAACAAGTTTTTCTTAAGTCATTTGAAGCGGATCAAACACTGAGAACAAACGGACCCGAGGAGAATTTGACGCCCATCTTTATCCTCCTTCTCACTGATGCGTGTCGACTGTGAGATAAAAAGTCCCGTGTCCCTAAAACTCACCAGCAGGATTTTTCTGCTCGCTTCCAAATAGGATTTTGATGCTCAGCCTTCATTTTTTCTTTCAAGAAGTTGTGAAGATATGTGCAGGGGCTATACATATTTAATGAATCCTCTGACGTCATGCACATTATCATAATTCTATATGCGTGTTATGCTTTAAAGGAACATCCTGAATATTTTAGGTGACACCATTTTTGGTGATTTAAATATTACATTTGCCTTTTGGGGTGCCAGTGATTTATGAAGGGACGAAGTGCAAGTTAAAATGCATGACTTCTTAATATCAGAGCAGCATGTGTGTTAACTTCGCCGTGTGACATGGAGTTTATAATGTTCAATGTGTAAGCCACATGTCTCCATTCAAAGTAATCCACCAAAACAAGAAGCTATCAACAGTTTTGTTATTTATGTGTGGCTGTATGTTTAACACGCTGGCTTTTCACCTGACAGAATGATTCATCAAGGCTGAGTATTTTTGTACACTACACCTGGGTATTAGTAACCTCTAAAAGTCAAGATCACGCTTGATCCTTTGTGTTTATGCAGGCTGGATGCTGACAGGAATGCAAAGTTTTCAGCCTTTTCAATGTCATGGTCAAAGTTTGTTTCATTATGGAGCGCTGAGTAGTATTTGCATTATGCAGCACAGGGCTGCACACCCAGATGCAGTTGTAGTAGTAGCTTCTACGAAAAAACATGACAGGAAAGAACCTAATGAAAACAATAGTACTTGTCAATCTACTTTGAGGTTAGCGCACCATCCATGATAGATACAAACACAGAGCTCTGTCCTCTTATGTCACCTGAGTCCTGTCCTGAGGTCCGCACATTAAGTGACCAGCTAGATCTGGGATGCCATGATGGAGTCACACAGTCCCAGTGGCGGCTCCAGAGTATTTGTGTTGGGTAATCTATGGTAGGGCTAACCCATACAGTGGTGGGGCTCAAGTCAGTATTTGCAATGTAATTACATACACGCTATATCGCCCCCCTTGACAGTGAAACGCCACGCGTGAGGTTTAGATTATTTCCCTGTCTCAATCCAAATTGAACTGTATGAAATAAAAAGGCACATTTGTCTTGTAAATACAAAGGGCGACCTGGAGCCAATCCTGCAATTTCCCCACAGGTGAAAGAGTTGACATGCTGAAAACCCAACCCCTACAGGGGGGTCTGGGGGGATTCTCCCCCAGGAGATTTTTTGAAATACTAACATAAAATACACATTCTGGTACTCTCTTGAGAAGAAAAATAAATAAATCTGTTACTACATATTTAAAAAAATGAATGCCATTTTTGTTTTTTGTTACTTTGTTCTGAAAGCTGAACCTGCTGCTCCTCAGAGAGAAAGGGGAAGAGGCTGTGTGAATTACATTGTGGATAAGGGTGGATAGCCCCCATTGTTCTGTGTGTCAAAATGAAAGACAGCCCACACACCTATCAATCATCAAACCGTGGGGTCTTATTTCACGTAATGTTGTATCGATGTATATAGAGATGTACTACCGCTAAAGTATTCTCCGTCGGGACTTCCTGCACGCCGTTATCGTGATTCTGATTGGCCAGAAGACATTATCAAAGATGTTTTATTGGGAAGAAGATCACTACGTGACAAAAGTTTTCAAAACCGTTTCTAGTCTTCGGTATTTCCAGACAAGTGGCTACTGAAATCAATCTTACTAACTGCTGTCTGTGCAATTTACTCCGCGCGAGATGACGGACTTTATTTAGCTTACTTTAACATCATTTTTCATGGTGGGGTTAAGGTGGGGCTAAGCCATTTCTTGGTATGGCTGTAGCCTACCCTAGCCATACCCTGGCGCCGCCACTGCACAGTCCTGATGCTCAACTTTATTTTTCTGCGATCGGACATCGCCCAGAAGCAGACTGGGTAGTGAAATAACCTCAGGACCTAGCTGGGTTAGCTTAGCTTCTCTCTGGACTCTTTTCCCTCTCTTCCTGGGTTGGTCGGTGACAGTATTTGGTGTGCAGGTCTGACTGACTGGATGTGTGACAATTGAAACCCAAATGTAGCTAAGTTCATGGTAGCTATCGGCCAATGCATCTCCATGCACCGCTGTCACCATAAATAAATGTTATCTTCGACATTTGCACTACTTTAAAGTAAACTTTACTTTAGAGTAAAATATTAGAAACAAATATTTAACTCATTACAACAATATGATACCTAATTCTGTAGATTTGAGATCTTTGTGGGGTTTCTATTGAAAGTTAAAAGGTTTAACCATAATGTACCTTTCATATTGCATGTGATCGAACCACACTCCACACTTAAAGTATAGTACCATATTAACAAATAAATCTGAGCGAGACAGTGTTATTAAACCTGTACATGGTTCCTTTGGTTATGCTGACTCAGATTGATTTAGCTCTGTCACCAAGTGAAATAATCCTTTAGATTCACTCTATATTGCTTGGAGCGAATACTTAGCTGAATGTAATATCAAGTAAATAAAGACAAGACAGAAATCCATCCTCTCCTTGTGCCCTTTTATGCTTTACCTCATAAACTGGGACAGACCACAATATACAGTGGACTTTCTCAATATGAGCACAGTTTTCAAGATCCTCCAGTCTCTGATATTATCTTCAAATGGAACATTTTACATTCCCTTTTGAATGTTTAAATGACACTGACCCATCAACTTTCTGATACAAATGATGTGTGAATAATAATCAATAAAGAGAAGCAGCAGTATTGGATAACATGTTGCGGATAATGTTTTTCAACCTTTGGTGTTGTGGAGTATGCTTCTTCATTTATAAATGATCCAATAGAACAATGCACATTGGGAAATGGGGCTTTTTACTAAGAAATAAATAAAACTCTCTGGTTTTGCAGCTGTGAGCACAGTTTACAGACTTTTTCAATGTTTTAGTTTTCAATGTCAATGTATTATTAAAGCTGGTTCTCATATAATCTGCCTTGACCGTGATGCCTTTTGTAAATGTCTCCGCTGCCATTGGCTTATTAAAAAGCTCAATGTCTTTTGGCATCCATGGCCAACATAGTTGCTTAACTTTCTTTTCAGCAGACTTTTTTTTAGCCGAATACATGGTACATACAGTAGCAGGGCCTTGCTGTTCATTTCAAAACTCGGGCTAGTTATCTGCAGCTATCTCCTGAACATGTGTGCTGCAGGTATTTGCTGACATCTACTTCCCTTTATTCTGCTGTGTGATTCAACTGCACTGAATAACACACCTAACACTCCAGGGGAGCACTGCTTTGTGAAATAATTTATACAAGAGTCCATACTCCCAGGTGTACTGTACAGAAAGTCTGCGTTCTTTTAAATTATTTCTAATGGGTGGTATTTAAGAGTAATATGTAAGCAGCTCGGTGTGAATCCTGGGTCAGAGCCTCTACCGTTTGACACTATCCAAATGAAGGATTGAGAAACGTTATACACTTCTTGCTTTCAAGGCTTTCATTTCATCATCATTTTTGTCTTCTTTGCAAATGTGTGAAGGGTGAAGTAAAGTGAGTCCTTTCATGAGATTATTCAGAGGTTCTTTGTCACATCGAACAAGTAAAATATCTGAGATTCAGTACTGCTTAGATAACAGTGGCCGTTTTTTTCTTTCCCCGCTAAAGCTTGTTTATGTGTTTTTGAAGCCATCCGTCAGGCCCTTAGAGCTGTCAAGAGTTTCACCTGCAGCACATGTTGAATGATGTCAGAAAAGTGTGATGATGTACAGCCTCTTGGACACAAGCAATTCCTTGTTAGTGTGCTTTTCTTCATTTATTGTCTCACTGCTGTCAGTTCTATTAAAGGAGAGGTGTCATGCTTTTCCGGTTATTACCCGTCCCCTTGTGTGTTATGAAGGTTTTTATGCATGTAAACGGTGTGCAGAGTCAAAACCCTCAAAGTACACCCTATAGCGAGTAAAACTCTAACACAGAAAAGACCTCCCCAAAACGCCTCGTTGGAGATACGTCATTGTCCATTTGATTCTTCCGGGACGGCATGATGTCAAGCCGTACCCGGAACGAAATGGACCAATCCGTGGAGCCGTTACGTTAAGCCCCCGCTGATTGGTCCAAATTGACCAATCCACGGACTTCCTCACACACACATCTGTGTGCAGGGAGCAGCCAGCTCAGCTGATTTCTCCTCCCTGGCTGCAGGCTGATAACAGACAGTTGGGATCGTGGCGAAATTCTCTCTGCAGACCCATTCTCACAGCGTTTATCAACCTTTTTCTTACTCAATATCAAGCCACACTTATTGTTTTTACTTCGGCTGTGACTTTGTGTGTGCTCAGGATGAGTTTGGCTGTGTTTCGCTATGTATCGCTAACAAGGAAACAACACCTCCACGGAGCTCAGCGCGATTCACAACGTCCCGACCAATCAGAGCACACTGTGCTCACAGGGAGGGTGGGGGCTGGAGCTTTTGGAGCTACAACGAGCCGTTAAAGGCAGAGAGTGAAATTCAGTGAATACAAGTAGTTTACAGAGATGCTGTATGAGAAACCAATGTGAGTTTGGAAAATTGCACAATATAAATCTATTTTAGTATACCTCAACAATGGAATTATGATCAGTGGAAATGGCCATGACACCTCTCCTTTAAAAGTACAACTAAATAAGAAC